AGGTTGATTCCGAAATGAAATACTAAGTGTTTAGTATCAGTGGTTTTGTAATTTTTTTGAATATCGACAGGCGTAAAAATCCAATATAGCGTCCATTTAAAATAAGGAAGTTGATGTAAATATCTCGAAAACCGTCATTTTGAAAAATTGTTTTCTACGCCCATTGAATCTATCCCATCGATTCTTGCAACTTTTATTTGAAACTTTTTTCGATAGCTATCTTTGTTACTGTGACGTACCCAGGCCAGCCCCGAGAGACTGCGTAACTCAAGATTTAAATTCAAAACTTTTTCTCCCAAACTAACTGAACCCCATGGCACATGATCGTCTAGACAAAGCTACCTAACCTGAATAACAAAATACTAGGACCACTTCTACGTTGTGTTTTAGGAGTCGCTACAAGATATGTGTTGCCTGTTGGAGTGAGGATCAAGTAAGGAATACAAAACAAGTACATGCTTTAAAAACAGAGATTTAATCAAAATTTGCATTGCACTATTAAATTTAGAATATGGTTGGTAGTTCGCCGACAGCCAACAAATTAATATTAAACGTTATAGCAAAGTTGGTTATCTGTAATGACATGATGCATATTAGGATGGTTGTTAAGTAAATTAATATAATATCGAATCATAGACTCCATTGGAATTCCTAAATAATTAATATTTGACACATAACATAAAAAAAAACAATCATTAAATCATTACTAATAAATACCCCCAATTGACAAAAAAACAAAAAGGCACAACGAGAACACGCCGTACGCTTTTAGCAGATCCCTGCGCAAGTGATGCCGAGCTTAGCCAGCGCCCTTATGTACGACTAAGCGGTATCCCAACTCTTTCATTGCCATCTCTAGGGCCAGTGCTACTCTCTAGTTATTAAGTGACGGGTTATAAAAGACCAAACGCCAGGCTCTCCACCATGAGTACTGATAGTAACCGATCAAACGACAAATCATGACATAACAAATTAACAGAGCAACCATCGGCAAACTCGCACGCATACATAATCATAAACAAAATATATAGCATTTCGACAGTTGACATGTTTGCCTTGGCATAACAAAGATTGACACAAACCCAATATTCGGTCACTATGTCAAGGGTCGACTAAACGAATTGATTAGAAATATCGGCAAGATTTCTCTTTTCTAAGACACAAGAAAAACATACAGGGTGACAATTTGAAAACTTACCACCCCCCATATCTTAGTAAATAAACGAGATATTTCAAAAAATCAAAATCCGTTTCGGTAATTCGGAGGGGGAATCACAATGACATAGTTGACGACGCACCCCCTCACACCCCCTGCGCCCCAGCCACCCCAACTTTTAAATCTTAAATAGTGACCCCCCATGTGTGATACGTCGTTGGAAAGCTCTGAAAAAATGCTTTCCAACAATACCAAATAGCATTACATTTAGGTTAGTAATTATCGTGCAAATCAAAAAATAAACTAATATGATACATTTGAAATCTGTCGTATTTAAAACGCAACCGGCGAACATAGACGAACTAAGACAGAGAATAATTCAAGAATGTCGAAATATTGCAAAACCAACATAGGAAAGGTTCGACAAGAGATTGAGAATAGATTATAACTGGCGATCAAAAATGAGTTGCTGTCGAGTCGGCTTTGGAAGTTCAAGTTAAATACGATTTTCCATGTTTATTTTTTGAGTTGCACGATAATTACTAACCTAAATGTAATGCTATTTGGTATGGTTGGAAAGCATTTTTTCAGAGCTTTCCAACGACGTATCACACATGGGGGGTAACTATTTAAGATTTAAAAGTTGGGGTGGCTGGGGCGCAGGGGGTTGGAGGGGGTGCGTCGCCAACTATGTCATTGTGATTCCCCCTCCGAATTACCGAAACGGATTTTGATTTTTTTTAAATATCTCGTTTATTTACTAAGATATGGGGGGTGGTAAGTTTTCAAATTGTCACCCTGTATATCTCTGGTATGTCAGTTGTGAACTTTAGCCACCCTCTGCTACGTCAAAGCGAGATTAAATATCGGTATTAAATATAGCACAATACATATTCGAAACAAGTCACCCTGCCAAATATTAATAATCATAATTACCCGGTTCAATTAGGTACATAGAAGGAGCATAACGTTAAGTATCACATTACAAGAAAACAAAGGAATGTTGTGGCAAAACATTAGTATAAAGTAATTAATTCTCAATGCCAAGTGCAATATGTAACAATCAACGATCTAACGTACGTCACTCGCCCCCAGATGAAGCACCCTGTAAATAAACAGTAATATATTCATGCAAAAGAAAGGAAGCGTGCTTCAACAAATTAATTATAAATTAGGAATGTAGTATCGATAATAATAATAATAATAATAACGGCTTTATTTAGGCGGGGTGTCAGCCAAAGGCTGCTATTAATCCCAACCTTGATACAGAAAAAAGTACAAAAACATGATGGAGTATTTTATTATTATTATTATTATCGATGCTTCCAAATACAGCACCATCTACGAATCGTTATAATATTTATTACATCGTTTAATTCTGCATACTCGTATTGAATATCATCCCTCAGAGAACATACGGTATCTAAATATAAATAAAAACTCGTAAATCGGTCAGAAATTCATATTGTGGGTTGGCAGGTAAAACCAGCACTAGGAACAAAGGGGTACTGTAAATTGAAAAACAACTACGTAGAAAATAATGGAATCTTGCATTTAATTCAAAGTATGATCAGTATAATTATAAAAGGGCAATTTGTATTTAGAATGAGTTATAAATGACAATACCCATGCTGTACGAGAATGCCGTTAATGTGGCAAATAATCTAACACGATCATATAATAATAAAAATTACCTCTGCCCTCAACAGCACAAATACCTCTGCCCAAAATATCCCCCTTTAGGCAAATCGTAGACGAAAATTGTTAATATCGACGCGCTCCGAGTCGTCGGTTCGATATGGAACATTAACTGCCCGCTTGTTATTATTATGGTCGGTGTTTCTTGTGAGAGCTCAGGTCTAGCCTGGTTAACTAATCGCACGGATTAAAATCAAGTAACGATTAGTGTCTGTGTCTGGTGAGGTTATGTAAGGTCCTAAAAAAAAAAAATCTCACACGTACATTTAAATTAAATTCAATTTAATTAAATTATTATTATTATTTATTATTATTATTTATTTACAACTGTACATTTTTTTACAATTTCGTTACCTGTTTTTTTGATACTCTCTACATATTACCGATTACAGTATACATAGCAAAAAAACAAACTACATCAGTATTTTAAGTTCGCCTTTGTCAATTTTACACAGAACATCTTTTTCACACCACATACTTTGAAATCCACTCACGTCCTTTTTTCCCAAAAACCAACCATATTCAGTTTTCAGTCGATAGCTGATTCTGCTGATGTACTCGGTTTTATAGTCCGTCACCTTTCTTCCTCGCATTGCGTCAGTTGAAGATAGATAAATTGTGCTCTTTGCCATTGTTAGTAGGTAATTCGCAATATGATGCTTGGACATTCGCTGAGGAAGACCGCTGTATATTTGGTGTATGCCAATTCGAGTACCAGTAAGTCTGTACACTAACGTTTTTACATAACTCCAAAGCTGTATTGTCCGAGAGCAATTGAAAAAGATATGAAAACTGCTTCCAAGATTTTGACAAAACGGACAAGTGCTATTTTCCCTGTTACCTGCTTTTGTAAGAAATACCTACTGCATCAGCCAATCTGTCTTTTGCCAATCTCCATGCAATCTCACAGTCCTTACCCAATGTCATTTTATTAACAAATGTATTCCAATTATATATAATAGGAAAATGCGGCTGCAAGTCAACTTGTGAGACCATGAGGTGCTCATGCTTACGAAACAGCCTTCCCTGCACCCTACAGAGTTCTAACTGCCAAGAACACTGCAAAAATCGCAGCCGAGTATATGTACATGCTTATTATAAACATGACTGTCAGCGTTTTATTTTTAATGATATTTTAATAATATTTTTTATAGCACTGGAAATCTGAGCGATGATGAGGCATTTCCCTTTGATGACTGATGACTTTTTACTTGTAAATACGTTTCAATAATCAACAATTTTTAGTTAAAAACAGGATTCAATGAATCAGTTTCAGTTTTGCAGAATCTCAGAAACGCCACCTCAACTACGAAAATCGGTCAAAACCTTTGAATCTTGTCGGACGTTAAAGATATCATACAATTGGCCTATATATGATAAATGAAACATGCTTCCCACACAGAAATTAGTTTTGGATATTTGTCATATTCACCGTCGGAAACCTCGTAAACGTCACCCCAAACGTAAAAATCGCGCTAAAAAGATATATTTCCTGAAATTTTAAAAATTGGCGCCATTTTCAATCCTAAGGGACGGAACTTCCGGCTCTGCGACTCAAATCACTCCAATAGGTCTAGGGAACATGTGTTCCAAGTGGCACAATTTTAATACGAAATGCCGAATAATACCAATATTTATCACGAGCCGCTCCCACTAATATACAAAGCGATCAAAAATGAGTGACCGGCGAGTCACCTTTGGAAATTTTGTTTACAAGGGAAATCGTACTTGACTTGTACTTCCAAAGGCGACTCGACAGTCACTCATTTTTGATCGCCCGATATAATATTTCAGAATATCCATCACAACTTTTCCAATTTAACCGAATCTGCAAGTATAATAGTAATAAAGGTAGCCATGATATCCTACTTAATTTAAGACACCCTGTATAGGGGCCATGCGGGGCCATGTGAACTAAAAGTTGTCAACCCCGATAGCTAGCAACAATTTACTCACTACCCATACGTCGCTATTTCGCCAAACTCACTAACACCTCAGATGCTTTACTTTAGCATACGCAACTTTACTGTCCCTTAAGACCTTTGCAATGATCTGTGCACATTCGGGCATCCTTGACCAGTCAGCTGGTTTACCACATTTACCAATAACGTTTGCATCTCAGTTTATATTTTACTTTTTCTTACAGCAATGTCGTCGCAAAAGTGGCGGAGGTAGTCAACGCAATGGGCGACGCGTCTGCCGCCGCTCAAGGATTGTCAAATCCCATCACGACAGCTGAACGCCTTCGAAAAGCCGATCAAACTGTTTACCTTCTCCTCGATCGAGAAGCAAAAGGGTAAGTGCCTTATTACAAACGTAAAAATCCGAGTTTATTTACATCAGCACAAAGTCGCACACTTCCAGTAGGTATTATTCCCTAAGTATGTAGTTCCTTCATAGAAGAGCTACTGACATGAGACATTCACAAATTGCTTCGAATCATTCGAATGTCAATGTACTAGCCGGTACAAGGAAAAATTTGCGTCGAAATTTTACAACGTTGGAAGCGTGGGTTGGGCGAAGGTGTAACCACTATACATAAATGGGCACATTATATCTATGTAGGTACGTATTTAATGTATGTACTTGCAATTATAATGACAATTGAAGTATGAACAGAAATTAATAATCATATAAGTAGGTACTATTGAAATTACACACACTACTTAAAACAATTAACAATCGTAAATGTTTTCGCATAAAACTTTCATTATTTATTGGAATCGATAGGTATTTATAGCATTTGCATACATAACTTCACGCAATAAAAATGCAATAACTCAATAAACCTTGGAAGTCAATAAACTGTAAAAAATTCGTATCTGACCAAAAAGTGCGTAAATTTCGTACTTAATTGGCAATTAAGTGTAGTTATCTAGAATCTGGTATAATCTGAATATCGACAGCACCTTTTTTTATGATCGTAATTCGTATCTTCTTTTTTAAACCTGTGTATTTGTATAACTAACTGTAGATGCGTCGTTTCCTTAGCTTCTGTTTAAGAAGAATTTAAGAATCTTACGATACAATAACCAACACGCTGGATGAATTTCGCAAAATACTGGAACTGGCCCATAAATCAACTGTTTTTAATTCCATGCCTTATCAAGAAGGTTCTCTCTCATGCGAAGTGCGTTTGGTTCGTCACCAACGAAATTGGTTGGAAAACAGACAAAAAGTGCTGGCTATTATGCAAGTATGTGTTACAAAAAGCTTCGAAAGATTTGTAGATACTACTATCTAAATTGTCGATTAGTTGTAATGAACTGATGTCAATGTATCAAGAACCTGATATATATTTAGTCTAGGCACTTGTAATTCCTTATCTCGTGATTTAGTTAACTGTAATTAGAAATATTTTAGCTACAGAGACAAGTTTCCTTTGTTCAATTTTATTTCATGGTTAGTGAACAAAACTGAACGCAAAACCCATGAACCGATTACCGTGGTGCCGCTTTTTTGGGCGCGCACAGTAATTTACAAATTATTCAAACGTATTTTGTCTGGATTATTGAAATGGAGGTTATTCCCATTGAGCATGAAGCATTGTCGGTTCTTTGCACTTTAATTTATATTAACATGAAACCATATACATTACTTTTTACGCCGATCTAGAGGTAATTACCGTGTCTTATTGCAATACCTAGTGCTAAATATGTTTGTATTTTGTAATTAAATTACTTAGGCACTATGTGTTTAATTGGTTACAGCATACGGCCATATATGCCAGTAATGCATAGTATAGTTTGTGCTCACTTTTCTGAAATATATATTTCAATTGATACTCGTAAAGAAGAGAACGGAGTTGTTTGTCCTCATTATATACACTGTTGCCATGTACTGAAAATACCTCGGAAAATACTTTGGTTGGTATCTCGGTTGGTATTGTAGTCCAGTCAAATTAGCTCTAAAAGTAGTATAAACTGGATGTTGTCATTTCACTGAACGAAACCCAGCGTATTCTATGTAAAAAAATCCGCTGAATCGGAAAATCGTAGTCCCCCTGGCCGGAAACGCCCGGAACATATTGTTATTAAAAAAAACGAAGAAAAAATGGGAAAATGTCGTGTTTTTTCACATTTGACTTCGAATATCTCGTTAACTATTGCTCTGAGGGAAAAGTGAATAGAAATGAACTTGTTTAGAATAAAATTTTCTATAAGATACAGTTGGTCCGGAACGCTCATTTTCAACTGTTATTGTTATTTATGGAAAAATGTAAAAAAGTAATCTCGAAAATTAACACTTTGTTATTACTAAGAAAAATTCATCCGATCTTTTTGAAAATCCGTATTTAGTAACTTCTTTTGATAACAAAACAATATGACAAACCAAATTACCGTGGGTTTCATACTCATTGATTAATTAAATAAACAAGTAGAAAAAGGGATACTTTGTCTTTCAAACTGGGTAATACAAGAGTGTTTTCAATTTTTTTATACATAGTTTAACCCGAGGTTTAACCCTTAAACAATCTTTTCCAATAATTGTCCCGATGATTCTTGCAAATCCACGGACTGTGCAATTTTTTTTTCAAAGTCCGAAGAATTTTCTTAGTTAACAAATGGAATAACTCCCGAAATATAACAAAAAATTAACTTTATAATAGGCGAATGGAAAGCTCTCGGAAAGACCTACAATAAAATTAAAAAAAAATACTTCGAAGTCCGATTAATGGTTCACTAGAAATCAGGTTTTGACTTGGAATCCAGTTTTCGAAACAACCAAAAATGATTTTGCAAATCGGGTCGCACCGATTGATTCTTTACAGCGTGGACATTTTTCATGCTTCTATTTCACCAAAATGAATGATTTTTATTAATCCGAGTGCCAAGGGCCGATTATAGAGTTACTTTTCTTGTTCAATCTCGGAAGCTATTCCATTTGTTAGTTAACTAAAAAAATTCCACAGTCCTTTGATTTGCAAGAATCATCGGGACAAGTATTGGAAAAGATTGTTTTAAGGTTCCACTATGTATAAAATAAATTGGGAACGCTTTTGTAGTCCCCCAGTTTGAAAGACAAAGCATCCCTTTTTCTACTTGTTTATTTAATTAATCAATGAGTATGAAACCCACGGTAATCTGATTTGTCATATTGTTTTGTTATCAAAAGAAGTTACTAAATACGGATTTTCAAAAAGATCGGATGAATTTTACTTAGTAATAACAAAGTGTTAATTTTCGAGATTAATGTTTACATTTTTCCATAAAAATCGATAACAGTTGAAAATGAGTGTTCCAGACCAACTGTATCTTATAGAAAATTTTATTCTAATCAAGTTCATTTCTATTCATTTTTTCCCTCAGAACAATAGTTAACGAGATATTCGAAGTCAAATGTGAAAAAACACGACATTTTCCCATTTTTTCTTCGTTTTTTGTTTATAACAATATGTTCCGGGCGTTTGTGGCCAGGGGGACTATGATTTTCGGATTCGGCGGATTTTTTTACATATGATGCGCTTGGTTTCGTTGAGTGAAGTGACAACATCCAGTCCAAACGGTAATTTGACTGGACTATTGTGTTTTAAGTCAGTTGATTGGAGGTTGACGAAAAAACATAGCTGTTGTGCACTACGATCAATATCCTCACTACTTCCGGTTATAATTGGATGAGACGCCGAACGCAGAGATCGTATTGTATTCCTTTGTGCTCGCCTTTGCCCGAATAACGATACAGCAATAAATTTGCAAAAATCTGGTCATTTTATCTGGAAAGTATTTGACCTCGAGAGCCGTGTGGTAACTTGCGAGAAGGAAGGAGCGACGTCTGGTTGGATTTTCCTGGCTGAGCGCTGAAACCAGGAATGTCGGAAGGCGTTTATTGACGCCATGGACTTCCTGGACGTTCTGCCGTATCTGCACTTATTAACGATCCTCGAGATCATTTATAATTTTGTATTGCTGCCTGTCTGTCCGTGTGCACGATTACTTTGTTTAGAAACGTCTGATTGCTTTGAAAATAAATACATATAATATATTCTTCAGGATATAATAAGAAAAGTCGCTATTGTTTTTCGGCTACGTAGACCAACGGGCCAAACAGTTACATCCCAAAAATTACCCAAACCTCCAAAAACGGTTTCTTTTATAACTCTTTTTACAAAGAACAATGTCGGGTTTTCTGTGTTAATAAATATTCATGCGCAGTCGGTTTTTTTTATTTGTTAAGATATTTAAATGAAATTTTGTATGTGGCATCTCGAATAAAAGTAAAACTAATGCCGATCAAAAAAATTGTTTTACAAGCTATGCTGATCTGGTGGGACAAAATCAACCCCTTCGGTGCAATGTAAAAATTATGTAAACCTCTCGCCAGGAAATATTGCCGGTCATAGAACACTTGATCCCGGTCTACAATCTATGTTTTTCTAAAGATGCGAACGACTTCCGGGATAGTATCATGTCAATGTTGAACAAAAAGACTTCGTTCAACATTGGCACGATGCTATTCCGGAAGTCGCTCGCATCTTAAGAAAAACATAGTTTGTAAATCGACACAAGGTGTGCTGTGACCGGCAATCTTGCCTGGCGAGAGTTATATGTGTGAAAATCTCGAGGATCGTTCGGTATTCAGTTGTATCGGATTTTTGTTTTTCTACTTCTATTAAAAAGGTTGTAATTTATGAAAAATCATTTTCCTATTCATGGGTCTAGCTAACAAGACCGCTATGCTAACTTTTTCTAAGTAGGTATAGACGTACCATCATTGCAAAAAATATCCACTATCGAGAATTTGTTAGACTTCAACTTGAAAGCATCTCATGGCTTCTCGTTCATATAGGTACGGCGAATTGACTTTAGAAGAGCCCGAAATAGATTAATTATCGAGTGTTTCTATCTAGGTTTCTATCGTACAAGGCGAAGCGCTCCAAAATCTTAGAAATTTTAATAATAAAAAGGTTCACGAAAATATGACCTAAATGAAAATTATCTGTCTACAAAATGACGACGCTCCGTCACACCTTATTTTACAATGTACCCACAAAAAAAATGGAATGACTCTCCGTTACTTCAAGGTGTTAACAACTTTATTTATTTGGGAAAAATTGTGCATAGAAACCTTAACGTTCTCCCGAAAAAAAAACAACTGATAATTGTATAAAAATTGCCCAATGTTCACCGATATTACGCGTGTCCTCGTTCATCCATGATATAATAAAATAATTATATTACAACACTTTCACCAACAGTAATAAAACACCATTAAATTTGAATGACGAATCGATCGACCTTGTCTCAAATATAACTATGTAATTTGTGTACATCATTTATTATTTTTTCTATTTTTTTT